CCCTCTCCCTCTCCCTCTCCCTCTCCCTCTCCCTCTCCCTCCCACTCTGTCTCTCTCTGTCTCTCTGTCTATGTCTCTCTCTCTCTCTTTCCTCCCTTCCTCCCTCCCTCCATTCTTCTCTTACTTCTTCCTTCTGCACTGTTCTCGTAAGTTGATGCTCTTTCTTGTGCTGTTCTCTTAAGTATTCTTTCTTTTTGTGCTGTTCTTCTGAGAGGCAAGAGTATGCTATTCCTGACTCATTTTGTTACATCTTTCTCAGATTTGTCATTTTTGTCTGCCTCTCAATTAGACATTGCATTAAAACATGGCTGCTTCTGTCTGACCTTACTTTCATTGGGATTAAAGGTAAATTACTAAAGGTTTGTCTGTATTCCAGAAAGATTGTACTGAAATCCAGGGTGTGATTACATTCCAGTCAGATCACACGGACCTAGAAAATCTTTGGATCTGAGCCCTTGGCAGAGCAGGCATGTTGCCATATTAAAATTCTTCTACAGAAATGGAAGCAAAATAAAATTTCTTCAACTGATAAATGAATAATGATATACATATGCACTGTAGAATACTCTTTAAATACAAAAATATTGAAATGATAAAAATTTCATGTAAATGAATGAAACAAATAAAGATTTCATTGATTGAGGATACCCAGAAACAGAAAAACAAACATTTGCATGTTTTCTCTCATCTGTGTTTCATAATTGTAAATCTTCAGAAGTTAATATATAGCCTGAATTACAGTAAAAACCAGGAACATAAAACAGACTATGAGAAGCAACTGGGGAGAAGAAAAAGAGAGAAGAATCATAAGGTAAGTGTAATTTGAAAGGCAAAATGGGAAATGGTGGGAACTATAACTAGAAAGTGGGAGCAAGGTCAACATTGAAAAAGAGATGGAGAATAAATTAAAATAAGAGTAATAGCATTTAAAAAGTCACAAGGAATGATGATATGGTTATTCCTGGTTGTTAACTTGACTACATCTGGAATGAACTACAATCCAGAAATGGAGGACATATCTGTGTGATCCATATCTTGAAGCTAAAACACACAGGCTTCTGACTGGGATCTATGACATACCTTAAGTCATAGTGACAATGAAAAGATTAGGCCCAAGCAATATAGGACATGCTTTTAATCCCTGGAGACTGAGACAAGCAGATCTCTTAGGTCAAGGCCAGCATGGGACAAAACAACTTATAAATCCATGTGTGGTGGTACACACCTCTATTTTGAATAGAGAAAAATAATCTATAGTACTTTGACCCAACTGATGTATCTACAACACCACTCCTGGACATGAACCTCAGGGAATATTACAAAAGGTTAGATGTAAGAATTAGATGTAATTCTATAAGAACCAGATAGACATGTGTACTGTGGGACATGTAAGGGAAGCTACAGCCAAGAAGTCTCAACAATGTGGCTACCTGAGTAAAACCTGAACAATAGTGTCACAAATAGATTCTTCTCCAGGGAATATTCCTCCAATCAAGCATTCAGCAACAAATTGTCAACCCTGGAACCATATATATACACATAACATTATATACATTGAGCAGCTTACACTGGTGTGTGTGTGTGTGTGTGTGTGTGTGTGTGTGTATCATGAATTTGGCATAGAGCATGAGGGGTATATGGGAAAAGTGAGTGGAAGAAATTAAAGAAAATAATGAAATTATACTTTAATTTTGAAAAATTAAAACTATATTAATTTTTTAAACATGACTTATTAGTAATTAAATTAACATAATGATTAAATTCTACTGGATACATTTAAAGTCTATGGCACTGTGGATATTAATATTTAAAACATTTTAGCTTAGGGACTCCAATGGAAGTGTCAGGGGAAGAATTCAAAGAACTGAAGGAGATTGCAACACCAGAGGAAGAACAACAACATCAATTAACTAGACACCTCAAAGCTCCCAGGGATTAAACCACCAACCCAAGAGTATACATTGTGCCAGTCCATGGCTCCTGCTACAGGATCAAGAGCCTCATCTGGCATTAGTGGAAAGCCCTTGATCCTTTGGAGGCTTGATGCCTCAGAGAAGTGGGATGTTAGAGGAATGAGGTGGGAGTTGGTAGGTGGGTGGGGGGAGTATTCTCTTAGAGGCAAAGGGCAGGGGGATGAGGTGGGTGGAGGGGTTCATGGAGAGCAGACCAGGAAGAGGGATAATATTTGAAGTGTAAGAAAATAAAATGATTAATAAAAAGAAAAGACAGAAAGAAAAGAAAGTTTCTTTAACCCTGACTGAAAGCACCAACAGGCAAAAAAATTATAAATACATATAGATATATGCGTATAAATACAATTCATATATATATATATATACATTATTGGTTTTAATTAACAGTTTAATGTGTATATATATGCATTGTATTTATAAATACACTAAACTGTTGATTTAAAAAACAATAATAAATATATTTAAAATATATATGGTAAGATAAAATACTTTGAATGTTCTGTTAGAAAAAAAGAGTAAAATCTGTGAAGGCACTACCTCTTCAAAAATCCATGGTCAATAAATTAAGAGAAATAGAATTATTTCAGTATGTTAATAAATAGAATTTTACTATCCATCTCCATCATAAGAATTTAGTGGCTTCATTATAATATTTGTCTTAGTACCTACCATGACAATAGAAGTAGAATTTCCATATAATCTGCAAAAGTTTTATGAGGCATATCTTTTATGAAAAGATATTTCTGATATAAATCTATTTTTAGTAGATACTAGAAATAGTTTCATTTTCTAAGTAAGTTCGGGTTTTTTTTTTTTTCTGTACTGTAGACTATAAGAGCTGCCTAATTCTTCATGTTTTCCTTTCTGCTCTTTAGAAATCTCAGAGCCAAATTTAGTTCTTAACTCTTCCATAAAATAACTTTGCTACTCTCTCTCTTAACTTCAAAATTTCCAGTTTTTGATTTTGTAATCCTTTAGTGTGTCTCTCATTTTAATCTCATTTAAACCTCCCTATAACTGAAACTTCTTTCAAAAGAAGAATGAAGTTTGGAGATAAATGGCCTCTAAAACAATTCCAGTTTTATTTCATTGTATAATCTGACGGGGGCAAATTTAAGATTTTATGCATTGGAGTCTTCTGAAGAATGACTACCTCGAAGTGAACTACTTATGAGGACCTCATGAATTATAGAATGTTGATGTTAAACATGTCATCTACAAACATCAACACAATCCATGTGGACTCTGATAAGAAAGATTTAGTCATCATGAATCAAGCCTTTTACTCTGAAACTTCCAGACCTTAAAATAGGAATGAACTTAGCAGAAGTTGAAGATAAGCCCTACTGCAGAAGGCACCATGAATTTGAACATAGAACTTAAAAGAATCAAGCTGGATGTGACAAAAAACCTCCTCTCTGAGAGCTATATGACAGAGTGAATAAATATGTTGGGCAAAGTCCCATCATCCATGTATAACATGTGTGTATAATGTTATATGTAAAATTATATATACATATATATATATATGTATATATATATATATATTAAATTTGAAAGTGAAAAATGGGAGTTGTTACATGAGAGAATTTGAAGAAAGAAAAAGGAAGAAGAAGATACTATATTTTCTTTTCTTTTTTTTTTTTTGAAAAAAAGAAAGAAAAAAGGAGCGGTTACTCCTTTTATTTTCTCTGTTTAAAATCAAACAGAAAACAAACATCAACTCTGTTATACACTAACGGTCTTCAAAGTACATCATTTGTACAAGAGAAGGACTAAGAACCAAACTGTTTACAGAGATCCAAGCACGAGTGAGAGAGAGCACGCCCCTCACACGGCTTTCCGATGGTACTCGGGAGGAGCCACTTCATAATCACTGGCACTGAACAAAGTTGCAGAATTCTTTGCCAGGTACTTGAGGAAATCATGTAGATAGTTCAGTAATAAAGCAAGGCTTTTCTCATCTAGAGGCGAATAGGCCAACATCGCTCCAATTCGCACGAATAATCTCAGTAAATGGGGTGCTCCATACACCTGGGACATGGGTGCATCTGGATGATCGGCGAGAATTTCAGCATACTGTGGTCTCTCAAATTTGTAGAGTAGCTGAGTGCCCAGCATTACATTGAAGTACTCCTTTATCCCTGCCACAACCTCATTAACAGCATACTCCTTATTATCTGTATTTCCTCGAGACTTCTTATAATTTGCATAATCCTCCAAAATGGAATCCACATTCTTCTTGGCAGGAAGATAAAAAAGCTGCTTTTGTCTGGTGATCAAGTCCCAGTCATCAACAAGCCATGGTTTCAGCTCTTCAGGAATCTTCACTTTAACTTCAACTCTGTTCATGAATGTTTCCTCATTTTCAACAGTAGGATCTACCCGGGCTCTCTTCTTCCTAGGAGGCTGAGGTGTCTCACTGGTACTGCCACCATCTCCATTTCCAGGTGTTTTCTGCTTGTTCTTTTTTGTTTTCACTTCAACATTTTTCTGCTGCAGACCAGATGCCTTCTTCCCTGGAGCAGCCCCTCTCATCTTGCCCTCTGCATATTGTTCCTGATTGGCCTTTTGAAGTTCTCGCTGTTTCTGCAAATTGGTGTCCACGTATTTGAGTACTCTGCTTTCTGGCACCCATTCATCCCAACTAGAGGTCAGGAGGGGGTGGTGTACTGAGGGAGCTCCTTCAGGAACAGGAAAAAGGGCTACAATATCCTCACGTGTCTTCAAAGATTTTTCAGAGCGCCTGGGCCTCACAGCACTTTTTTTATTCCAACCACTGTAATGGATAAAGTACTTCACTTGTTTGTCCTTTATGGCAACCTTTACACACTTTGCTTCATAAAGAAGAGGCCCATGAAAGCACAGCACTCGCTCGCCCTCCTGGAATTTAGGCTTCGGGTCCTGCTTGGGCGCCATTTATAAGTGATTCGCCGCCTCCTCCTTCTCCCACCACCCCCGACTACGATACTATATTTTCAAAATATAAAAAATTCAAAATATCTCTAGAACATGAAAAATGAGGTATTCTAGGCCATTTATGATGCTAAGGACTACTAAAATAACTATCATAGTAAGATGTGTCAGTTCTGGAACAGTGGCATATGTATCTTGCTGGTGACCAACAGTTGTGTAATTAGACTTAATGCGCATTCAACAGCAGGAAAACATGCATGGTATTATAAACACAGCCAAATACCTGTGGCTGGTGAAGCCAATGAACCTTGAGGGGAACTCACTACTGAAATTTTGCTAAAGCAACATAATTTCTAGATGCATTCTAAATATTTATCCTTATATCCACAGATAAATGAAACTTGCACCCCTCCACAGTGATATTATTTGGCAGAAGACCTAGAATATTTCAGAAAATGACAACTTGTCAAACTTAAAGAGAACAGCTGATGATGTCCAGCCCCAATTAATATGTCTATAACACAACTCCTATACCTAATGTTCATGAAACACTAAAAGAAAGAGCAGAAATATTTTAATTAACACCCAGAATAAAAGAAATTCTGTAGAGACATAATAATTTTTATATGGGGCAAGTAAGTTACTGCAAAGAAATCTCAACTATATGACTGCAAAACAAAAACAAACAAACAAACAAACAAACAAAAGACCTCAATAATGACAGCAGTTGTCATGCCAAGGTTGATAGGAAAAGTTAGCAGGACTCTTATCTTAGATGAAGAGCTTCAGAAAATTAAATGCTGAGTAAGCAAGAAACAGTTTCCCCTAGCATGAATCTCCTATTTAGTTATTTAACACCAAAAGTATAGTCCTGAAACCATATACATATAAGGTCACATTTATATATAAATTTGTTTGTGTGTGTGTGTGTGTGTGTTACAAAATTAACTACAGCAAAAGAGGCCATGAATTGAAAGTCATGGGAGGATGCAGATGGAGAAGGATGGAAATGATATAGATATGTACACATTTATGAAATCAAAACAAAATAAAACAAAAAAACAAGAAACTGCTTGATTGCATTATTTTTAAAAGAGAATACAAAGAAGAGAAAGGAGGTAAAATTGCAGAAGGAGGTTTAGTTTCCAAAGGCAATAATTTTCTTTCTTAAAGATGACTCTATCAATGAAGCAGACCTGCAGGAGAAGACAACACGGTTGGACATCACTAGAGGTTTTAGAATAACTTGAAGAAGGTCTCAGATCACTGCAAACTTTTCCAGTTTTCAGTATTTGTCTTTGTAAATAGCCATTGAAACAGAAATTACCACCCTACCTCAAGCCACAGACAGCACCTGTCATTGTAGATAATTATAATTCTTTTACAACCTTTTCTGTACTGATGCAAGGAAAACAATGAAGACAGGAAGGACAGGAGTAAATAAGTAGGGAGACAAAACCAAACAAAGCCAGACACACACACACACACACACAAACACACACACACAACCTGAACAACACCAAGGCCATCAAACTTAGTGTTTTCAGTTGCTGATATAAGTAGATACAGATCATGTTTAAGCTAATGAGCTTGAGTAAGTGAATGTCATTTCAGTGGATGCTAGGTCAAAAAATTAGGTTAAGCAAAAATAAGGGTTGTTTCTTTGAAAATATCAACAAGACGAATAAACTAAAAGGTAAAAAGAAAATATTCAGATTAACAAAATCAGAATAAAACAGGAGAAATAAAAACCGTCAACAAGGAAATCCAAGAATCATTAGGACTTACTTCAAAAACTTGTACTCCACAAAATTAAAATTTTAATCAAAATTGATAATTTTCTGGATATATGTAATATACTAAGTTTAAAAACCTATACACCACAAAATTAAAATTAAAAAAAAATTGATAATTTCCTGGATAGATATAATATACTAACTTTAAATCAAGATCAGGTAAACAATTTAAATAGAGTTTTAGCCTCTAAGGAAATAGAAGCTGTTGTTAAAAGTCTCCTAAATGGAAAAAGGACAGGGCCAGATGGTTTCAGCACAGAATTCTACCAGACTTTCAAGGAAGAGCAATACTCCACAAATTATTCCACAAAATGGAAATAGAAGGAACACTATCAAATTAATTTTAGGTATCCATAGCCACCTTGACTCCCTAAATCACAGAAATATTCAGCCAAGAAAGAGAATTTCAGACAAATCTCTCTTATGAACATTGATACAAAAATACTCAATAAAATACTCATAGACCAAAACCAAGAACACATCAAAAACATCAACCACCATGATCAAGTAGATTCATATTCAAAGTTGCAGGGATAGTTCAAGATACAAAAATTATATAAACTACCACATAAACAATAAGAAACAAACAAATGAACAAACAAACACATAATCATCTCATTACGTACTGGAAAAGCCTTTGACAAAATTCTAAACGTCTTCATGTGAAAAAAACCCAACACTCTTTTATCTTAAAATCTTCTAAAGGTCAATTATAAGTGAAAATATTTATAGTAAAAAACAATAACATTTTGTGGTCAAGTGTGTCCAGGGCTAGATGTAAGTATTAATGTCACTTTTTCTACATGTTGAAATCCATTCATACTAGTACCACTGGAAGTTGCTATTATGTTTTCTCCACTATATATATTTTGGCATTTTGTTAAAGATATCTAGATTATTCCTAGATGCATATAACATGCTGCATTGTATCAAGATGAAACATAGTTTAGATAGGTTTATAGCCAGTAAGGGGATTGAATCAGAAATAATATTTTCTGATGAATCCTCTGTTTTTTCATTTAACATATCAGCTGTCCTAAAATGAATATTAGTCAAGCCACCTCCCCAAGTTCCTCTCTCTTTTATCCTTCTTTCATTATTTTGAATTTCTTCACAAATCATAACAGTTTATTAGAATCTTGATTTTCACTTTCAAAAATGTCAACATTGACAATGTAACCTATCAGTACCCTGGCTCCTCCTGGCCCTTTTGTTTTAGTTGAAATTCTGTTCCCAAAGCAAGATATGTTGAAGTCCTAAAAAACAGCATCTCCTGGTATAAATGTCTTTCTTAAGAAGGTTTTTTAATAAATTTGTGACCATTGCACTAGATCCTAGTCTAATATTATAATATTATCATCTTCTCCAAAAAGAGAAATTTTAACAGAGATTGAGAGGAAAAAAGTTTTGAACTCACACAGAGAGAAGCCTACCAGAACACTAGGGTGATGCTTCCATATGACAAGGTCCAGCAATCATTACTAGAATCCAAAAGAGTCAGTGAAAATGTTCATTTGAGTCATGAGAGTCAGTGTGACACTGAAGAGTACTGATCTCAGATTCTACATTTTTATATGTGAATAATAAATTGATGTTGTGTTAAGTGACTGGATGTTGATACTCTGTTACTATAGCTCTAGGAACCTAAAATAATGTCCCCCAGAGCATGCCATACTGTGAGCCAGCCAGCTCTGTACTCCAATCATTGTAAAGTGCAGTAGGTTTCAACATTCACCATCCTTTTCCCAACTCTTCACTGTACCCCTCCTTCTCTCCCTCTTTACCCCTAAGATGTTGTCTCTCTCATTTTGTTGTCATTGTTGTTTGTTTGTTTCTTTTGATTTTAGAGTTTTCACCCTGCTTTCTGAAATACCAACCTATTCCATGACCAATGTTCACTTATTTACTACTACTGTAACTTTTCTTAATGTTTCAACCCAAATGATCCAATTTCTATTCATCTGTATATTTTTATATTTTATTTATTCCCCCAAATTTTTCATACTCTCAATTTTTAGTATTGATGTATTAAAAGTGGGCCAGCATAATTTTTTCTTAAAGAGTTAATATTTCAGGTATTTCATACTGTGAATTAATTTAGTAAACTTACCTGTTCCAACTTACCTGTTCCATTATATTGATTTTATAGTCAATATATAAACATGTGTTGGTAAAGTTTTATTTACAAAACAATGAGAAAGCCATATGAACACACTTTACTAAGTCCTATCTAAAAGATATATTTCTCAAATTCTTGCTTTCATTATGATTGTTTATAACTTACAAAACTTCTAACATTCATCTTTCATACTTCTTATGAAAATTTTTAAAAAATCAATTTAATATTTTTCTAAGTGGGATAGTTTAATTTCTCTTTCCATATATTACATCATCTAAAATTTTAATAAGAAAATTCATACAGAAGTACAAAACCAACACATTAGTAGTCTGTGGCAAGTAACTAGTAGTCTAGGAAGACATTGAATGTTTGATACATTGCTACACTAGCCCATTAAAAAAAAGAGGCCACTATTGTTTTTTAAAAGGATTTCTTACTGTTCCAAATGAATTTAAGTATTGTTCTTTCTATCTCTGAGAAGAATTAAGTGGAAATTTTGATGGGGAATGTGTTGAATCTGTAACTTACTTTTGGTAAGAAGACCATTTTTACTATGTTAGTCCTGCCAATCCATGAGCATGGGAGATCTTTGCATCTTCTGAGGACTTCTTTGATTTCTTTTTTCAGAGACTGGAAATTTTTGTAATAAAGTGTGGGGCTGTTGCTCACGCGTGTGGTGTGGGTTCTGTTGGGATGAGTCATGGGTCCCTTGTGTATGCCATGGCTCAGGTAGGCAGAAGCACAGGAATTTGACTGAGTTCACTCCAGGGCACCAGGTGGATGCTGGGCTATGAGAAGCTGCAGGGCTCCGCCTGGGAGTGGAGAGGTCTCAGCCTGAGACCTGCAGGGGCGGAGCTCTTTGGTGGGGAGCCCCGGTCAAGAAGGATTCCGAGGATCAACTGATCTCAGACCCCTGGGTTCCCAGGTGCTGCTGGGAGCCACAGAAGAGTTGAGACTGGGGACATACAAGCAGGACCAGCCTGCAGCTGAGGAGGATGAGGGAGAGAAGCTCCGGCAGCAACCAACAGGGTAGTGAGACTCTTGGTCGAGGCAACTTGCTTGGCTGGGTCATGGCTGGCTTGGCTAGCTTGCTTGAGTTGGCAGGTCTCTGTGGAGG